ATAGCAAATAAAACAAGGAAGATAAAGATTAATACGACTGCAATTGATGAAATAATTACTACAAAAAGACCTACAGCACTAACTAAAATAAATATTTAAATAAATCAAGGATTAATTTTATTTATATGTTTATATATGTGTATTCTATTTACTTTTTTGACATTGCTTTCCTGAATGAAAAAAATCACAATCACATTTATAATCTCCCGGTAGATTTGTACAAGAATATGAACCACAAATTCGATCATTAATCGCACATTCATTTATATCTAATTCACACATAAGACCACCATAACCTGATAAACATACACATTTACTTGTCACATTTGAACAATAACCTTGGAAGAAAAAAAAAGAAAGCGGAAATTCTTTTCTTTCTTTCTTCTTTTATAGACATAATCAACGAAGTCAACGAACCTCCATTAAAACATTCATAACGACTATCGCATATACCATTGTACGGGATTTCTAGAAAAAAAATGACACTTAATATATATATATATATATTAATTAAGTATAATTGTTGAACGGATGCTAGAATAATGCGCTAACGCTCTTTTGTCAGGTAGCTATGCGGAAGGAACAAAAAAGAAATTAAAGAGGAATATTTCTTACGTAATATTAAAAATATATTACCTTGAAGAATACAACGACCTGTTGAAGATGACAGAGCAAATCCAGGAAGACATACACAGCTGACACCACTTTTATTCAATAGACGTATGCATACTGCTCGACCATCACATTTTGCACAATTTGGATCATCATTGACGTCAATTACTTAAAACATAACTCTATTTTAATATTATTTAACTAAAATAAAGATTCTTTTTCTTTCTGTTCGCCTATATCAATAGACATCTTATCCGTCAGACACTTGAATAAGATGATGTGATTGACACCCAACATCTCAATCGTCTGTGTTGAAGTGTGTGTGTGTATATGTACGTATGTATATATGTATTGCACAAGAATTCATTCTCACATTCGTTCTCAATTATGAAGTGTTCGTTGATAAATGCCTTTTCTTTCATATACGACCATTTCTTGTTCAAACATACGGTGGTGACCGACGTTTTTTTTGCCTTGCACCTGTCAGTACCAATTGAACGAAAAGAAGAATGAGACTAAGATCATCATATGTGTATTGTATACAAAGAAAAAAACAAAAAAAAAATAATAATTTCATATCTTATAGAAAAATATTCGAATTGAATCAAAATTTTGATAACATCAGTTAATATTTTAACCATAACTGATGATGTAGTTATATAGATAATAGAGCAAATGTGATCATTTTAATTTACCTTCTATATGAGTTTGTCCATTGATTATAATAAAATAAATGAAAAGTGGATGAAGAAGAAAAAATATGATCGTCGACATAACTTATAGATTAGCTTGCAAATGTCTACATAACACACCGAGAATAAATATGATTGTTTTAGAATGAGCTCGTGTGAAAGAATAGTCCTCCTCCTTTCTCTCTCTCTCTCTGTCTCTGTCTCTTGCGCAATGGTACCAAAGAAAAAAATCTTCTCACGTTTTTTTTTCTCTCTTTCTTTTGCTTTCTTTCATTGACCAAACAAACGCATAAGAAAAAGAACTGACTACATATAATGGTTCTATTCTCTCCTTGAAACTAGTAACTTAAAGTCATGCTTGAGCCTACTCATTTTATTCATTAATATTTTCTTGATAGAATTTCATGAGAAAATAATCGTTTTCTTTTTCGATGACATCAATATGTGTTTATTTCATCAAATCAAATACCAAGAATAATAACAAAAAAAAAAAAAAACGACACGAGAAAAAGATAACAAAACAAAAAAAAGAAAAAGAAAGAAACCCAAGAAACTGAGTAGATATTTAAGAGTATATGTATTGTTTATAACACACAAATACAGTTTCGAAGAAGAAAGAACATTATATAAGTTCAAACAAATTATCCTTTTCGAAATCATTTTATAGGATTATACACGCACACAAGAGACAAATGTCTTTTTTTTTTGTTTTGAGTTATATTTGATGATTGAAAAAAAAAATATATATATATATAATTAGTAGAGTTGTTTTTGTTTTTTTTTTTGTTATAATAATTTATCGACTACCACGAGATCTTGATCTTGACCGTGTTCGTGAACGTGATCGTCGTTCTTTTGATCGAGCTGGACTATCCGATCTCGAACGTGAACGTGATCGAGAACGGCTATATGAACGTTCACGATCCTTCGATGATCGATTACTTTCAGAACGACTACGACTTCTAAAATAAGATTTTTTTTTTTTTACAAAAGACGAATAAAAAATACAATAAATTTATTAACTTGTCATCACGTCTTGATGAATGACCATTGGCTGTTTGTCTAGGACTTCGACTTCGACTTCGACTTTTACTACGTGAACTGGATCTAGAAATAATTGTTATTGATTAGTTTTTTTTTATTAAGAAGAACATATAGAACTTATTCGTTTTTTAAATAATAAAATTCCTTCCTTCCTTCCTTCTTTCGTTTTTTTTCTTCTTAAGAAGCCCTTAAATGAATCCTCTACTTTATTATCATGGATGACCATCAAATGCTTCAATCAGATGTTGTAGACAGCAATTGATACTATTAAAAAGAATCCATTTATGGTTTTATTCTTAATATATAAAATTCAATAATGACCTCTAGAACCATGAGAGATATGTTTTTATTCATATTGGTATATACATACATCTTAACTTTCGAACAAATAATTCTACAGAAGTATTCTTATTGACGGGAAAGATATTTTATTAAAACTGATCATAATCACGCTTTATGCAGTGATAATTGAATACCTTTAAAGTTTTTCTACATCTCAGAATTTTTCACCAATTTCTAGAATAAAATAAATATATCGTTTTACTACAAGAAATGAACTTTCAGAACATTAAATCATTTTCAAATAAATATCTAAGTGTATCATTTACAATAAGATCATTGAATAGTATGTAATGCATACCATTTATATTCAAAACAAAAAAAAGTCATAATTCAAAAGAATGAACCTTCATCTTCCTTCCATTTTGATACGTGTGGGGAAAGGAAGTTGCCATTACGTTACTCGGTAACAATAACGACGCCGTGAGCAGTAACCCGGTAATGAGAAATTTATGAACTTGATTTTTTTTTTTGTCAAAAGAACGCTATTGAGTGAAAGCAAAACCATTTTTATAAAGTTTGAACAAAGATCTCTAGATTAAAGATAGAAATCAAATACACAATGTTGAGAAACCGATTACATCTTATGTTTCTTCGATGCCGAAAACGTTTAATCGAACTTTAAAAAAAAGTCGTTGTTTTCTTAAAATAGTCTGTTTTCGACGCAAGAATCATATCTACAAATTTTCAGTTACTTAATATTAATCATACTGATGAAAGCGCACATACTATATATTAAAATCGAAGAACATCATAAATTTTCATTTCTTTACTATTCAATTTCAAAAAAAAAAAAAAAATCTTCTTTTATAAAAACAATATTTATCTGTTTACGATAGTTCATCGTATGGATACACACCTTTAGAATTGATAGTTTTTTGGATGAAAGAAATCAAATAAATAAATCGAGAATTTTTGTTTTGGTTCGATTGTTTCATATGAATATCTGATATTCTGACTCCCAATCCAAAGAAGAATTCCATCGATATACATTTCTCGATACCATGAAGATTATTATTTTCGATCTAGTCATATAAATCGCTCGCTCGTTTCAATCTCTGTTCATCAATGATCTATATGAACTAAAAACAGATATTCGTCTTTTTCTTTTGTTAAATTAATTTCTTAACCCATTTGAATATTCAAATATGAAAATAAATAAATAAATTGAAACATACCTCATACGACGCTGCCGTCTTAACCGAATTTCACAATCATAAGCATAATGACCACGATCTAAAATAAAATCATGATTTAAGAATTTTTCAAGAAAAAAGAAAAATCAAAAACTAACCTCCACATTCATAACAAACATCATGTGGACTAAAAGGTTTTCTTGTTCGAGGTGATCGACTACCGGAACGACGTCGAATCCGACCACCTCGATTTGATCGACCACGACCATGAGAAAATTCAACACGAACACGTGAACCACATATCATTCTAAATATTCAAAAAAAACTATGTATTTTACGATATTTTTTAAGTTGATTCCGTAGTCTCTCTATCTTGAAGACATAAGAAAAATTCATTTTCGAAGTTCAACTTGCAATTTTCTACAGTGATTGGTATCGATAAGACTAGTGATTCGAGACATGAAAGTGTTCCTATTATTCTAAGATACAGCTATGATAGAAGTTTGTCTTTCACATTGCTCATAAACATTAGTAGATTTGATATTCTCATTTCAGAAAAGAAGAAAATCAAAAGACTAGGAACTTTCACAATGAATTATTCTCGAATAAATATCATAAAAATGCACTGTCTTAGCAATGATAAGCTGAGAGTCTGGATTATTTTCATTGTTTATTAAAATCTACATTATACAAATATTGCAGATTCCAAAGCAATTAATCAATTGAAAGACTTCTTTTGTTTGTTTCACTTACTTTCCATCAAGAGCTTTAACAGCATCAGCTGCATCACGTTGATCTTCAAAATCAATAAAACCTATGGACAAAATATATTCTAAGAAATTCTTTCATTGTCAATAAATTTACCATAACCCCATGGACTACGTAAAGCCTAATTTACAAAAAAAAAAATAAAGAGACTTCTTATATAAATAAAAATATCGAAATCAATATTTTTACCAAACATTACGTAATTTTCCATAATAACTAAATGTTTTTTCAACTTCTTCTTTTGTTGCATCACGTGATAAGTCTCCCAAAAAAACCTAAATATTTAATTGAATTAGTTTATCTACCACTTTTATCATATTCATTAATACCGTTATTGATTCATCTTGTCCACGTGACATTTTTATTAAGTATAATTTTTATCTAAAATTTTATTTCAAATATTAAAAATTTATCTAATAAAACGTTTTCGAACTGGTTGTGCATATACAGGAGGAACAACTTCTTGAACAAAAAGGATTATAAGACCAACAACAAAAGTTACACAAAGAAATGTTAAAATAAGTATTCGAGGAAGACCAGCAAGACTAGTTGGAGTCGTAGACGATCCTAATACACGGCTAACATCACCACGCGGTATTAATGTCAATACAAGTGTAACAATGACAGCTATTAGAAGGGCAAGTAAACCAACATATCGAATACTTGACTGAGAAAATGTAAATAATGTTAATGTTGCTAAAGTAATAATCCATATTACGATTAGGATAATTACACCTGTTCCTAAAGTAGCCATTGTCAATATTTTATTTTTCGACGGACGGATGATGACTTTCCTTTGTTTCTGTCGATTTCTACTTATCCACCATTGTTATGGTGACCTCCGTTTGTAACTAAGGATCAAAAAAAAAAATATTTTATTTATGAGTTTGATTTTAAATTTAAATACTTATTAATCAAATTATCTTAATGAAAAGTTTTTCTTGGTGAAACATTAATATTGTTACTGTAATAATAGAAATAAAAAATAGTGATTTACGCGACATCTATAAAATCAAATTTACTTTTGAATGGAAATTTTACATTTAATTCGACTTTACACATGTCAAAATATGAGACTCACCTTCATACATGTGAAGTTATGGTAAATTTTACATTTTCCATTAGCTTATTTATTTTTAAACTTATTCTATCATCTTATTCACATTAAAAAAACAAAAAGTAGCGGAAACAGAAAGTCTCAGGTCGAATAGAACAACCCGTAAAAGACCGTAAACTACTCGAAAACGGTGAAAAGTCGCTTCTGTTCTAATGATTATTTACGATACAGCCTAAAACAAGGAAGTACGAAAATAAATTATATGAGTTGCGATCATCGTTTACGAACCAGCGCGAATGACCATTATTCTGACTACTGGTTTCATTTCGTGTTCACACACAATCAAAAAAGTATCTTATAAACGTCATTAGATGTTTTGTAATGGTACCCAGTAGATAAGCATTAATAATCTTATGTGAAATTTCTTGTTGGACGAATTTCTTATGTTTCGTGGAAATATTTTGCTGAGATTGAAATATACTTTACTCTGTTTTTTCCTTAAATTTCATTTTTTTTTCTCAATATGAGACCCCAATAACTTCTTCCTAAGCTACAGTCCCGCAGCTAGGCGAAACCCATCGATATAAGGATTGTTTACCTTGAAACGTCTACCATAGGAAGAACTTAATGAGCCCTGATCGCAGACAAAAATTTAAGTTCTAATTCCTTACCTAGACTGAGATTCAAGACTAAGATCAACGTTATTTTCCTATTGTATTATTTCCGCGCTAGGAAGAAGATACAATGTTGTTTGACCCACTGTTGGAAAGCCCAGCTCTTCCTCTTTCTATAGTAAAATATTCATCATAAATATGCGTGCATTTGTTAAGTTATGAATTATTCTCTGTCTACTCATGGAACTGACATATCACAATCTCACCAGTTTTTGACTCGAATCTCCAGCTAGAGTCAATCTTTTGATTTGAAAATCGTATCACAAACTGCTTACATATGGTGCAGACTGTATTAAAATTTTCAGAACTATAGCTACTAGAAAAGTGAAAATTCATTTCATTCTATACATCAAGACCGATAGCCCTGGAAAATCTATATGGAACAGTACAACATGCTGTCCTTTATAGCATGAGTAGATCATCATCAGAACTACCTATTGCACTATGCATATCGTACTGATTTCATCAAATCGAAGAATACCAGCATAAACTTTCCACAGCACTCTTTCTCGCTTCAAATGAAACAGAATTGACCAGCTGAGATTTTCGAGAATTCTTGTTTTTCATTGTTTTTGCTTGGTAATTGGCTTTAATTTGAAGAGAGAAAGAGTGATGTGGAAAGTTTATGCTGGTCTTCTTCGAGTTGATGAAATCAGGATGATATTTATAGTGCAATAGGTAGTTCTGATGATGATCTACTCATGCTATAAAGGACAGCATGTTGTGCTGCACCAGAGTGATTTTCCAGGGCTATCGGTCTTGATGTATAGAATGAAATGAATTTTCACTTTTCTAGTAGCTACAGTTCTGAAAATTTTAATACAGTCTGCACCATATGTAAGCAGTTTGTGATACGATTTTCAAATCAAAAGATTGAGTATAGCTGGAGATTCGAGTCAAAAAGTGGTGAGATTGTGATATGTCTGTTCCATGAGTAGACAGAGAATAATTCATAACTTAACAAATGCACGCATATTTATGATGAATATTTTACTGTAGAGAGAGGAAGAGCTGGGCTTTCCAACAGTGGGTCAAACAACATTGTATCTTCTTCCTAGCGCGGAAATAATACAATTAAAAAATAACGTTGATCTTAGTCTTGGATCTCAGTCGAGCTAAGGAATTAGAACTTAACCTTTTGTCTGAGATCAGGGCTCATTAAGGGGCTCCCCCCCCCCTCAGAAAATCGATTTTTCTGAAAAAATTCAATTTTGAGATAAGCACATATACTGAAAGCCCAAAGTGTCCTCTTTCAGATTATGTATGATTTGTTGCATTTTGAAAGGTTTTGAGTGGTGAAAATAGCGGTTTTCTGGGAGCACTGGTAGAAATATAAGGTTTTATCAGAAATTTTTTTAGTTAGGGAGATGTGGCAGTGGTCAACAAACTTGTAGATTTTGGTTAAAGAAAAACACATATACGTTCTGCTATATTAATTAATTAGAGGAACGTAGTCATTTCTGCTTAAAATCCTGTATACTTGATGAAATTGCCGTATAGAGGTCGTGACAGTCATAGTGAAATTAAAAATTGTTTCATACAAACTCGTTGATTGGTTTTCTCAAAATCACTTTTTTGAAGAGTTAGGAACCGATTTCTCAGAGTGTAGAAGAGGTAGAGAGCTACCGTTTTTTTTAAATAAAAGAAGAGACCTATGTCTAGAAATGTACATAGCGTTTTTTTGAAATTCGATTTCCTTGTCGAGATAACTGAATAACCGTGATGTCAAAAAACGCTAAGTTCCGAATTATTGCAGAAAAATGTCTCGGAAATCCGAACAAAATCGAATTTCGAGAAAACGGTATGTACATTTGTAGACTCAAGTCTTCTCTTTTATTTAAAACAAACGCTAGCTCTCTACCTCTTCGACAATCCGAGAAATCGGTACCCTACGAAGACCACCATATTGAGGACTAATTTGTCAATTACTCGTTAAAACAAAAGTCTTATGAATCAAAAATTTGTAAGAAATTAAGTTAACACAACACATATATTCCCTGAAAATTTCAGCCAAATCAGTCCACGAATAACGAAAAGCGATTCCTGAGGGGGGGGGGGCCGTCCATTAAGTACCTCCTATTGTAGATGTTTCAACGTAAACACTCCTTATATCGATGAGTTTCGCCTAGCTGCGGGACTTTTGTCCAGGCCTGTAGGTAGCTAACAAATCGACCATTTTTAGCAAATTCTGCTTCAGAGGCACTGGCCAACGCATTCTCGATAGTATTGAAGGCCTGTTGCTGTTTCAGTATTCATCCGTCTCTCTTCGTTACGGACATTTGCTTGTTAAGAATTTCAAGCTCTATCTTCTGGACCAAAAAAGTCGCTTATATAGGTAACTAACAAATCGAACGTTTTCAGCAAATTCTGTCTCGAGAGGCATTAGTCAATGCATTCTCGATAGTATAAAAGGCCTGTTGCTTTTTCAGTATTCATCGGTCTCTCTCTTGGGTACCGACATTGATTTGTTCAGAATTTCAAGCTCTATCTTCTTCAACGAAAAAAGTCGCTTATATAGGTAGCTAACAAATCGACCATTTTTAGCAAATTCAGTTTCGGAGGCACTAGTCAATGCATTCTCGATAGTATTGAGGACCTTGTGCCTTTTCAGTATTCATCCGTCTCTCGTCGATACGGACATAGATTTGTTCAGAATTTCAAGCTGTATCTTCTTGAATGAAAAAATCGCTTATATAGGTAGCTAACAAATCGACCATTTTTAGGAAATTCTGTTTCAGAGGCACGAGTCAATGCATTCTTGATAGTATTGAGGCCTGTTGCTGTTTCAGTATTCATTCGTCTCTCTTCGGTGCCGACATTGATTTGTTCACGATTTCAAGCGGTGTCTTCTTGAAGGAAAAAATGGCTTATATAGGTAGCTAACAAATCGACCATTTTTAGCAAATTCCGTTTCACAGGCACTAGTCAATGCATTTGCGATAGTATTGAAAACGTGTTGCCTTGTCAGTATCCATCCATCTCTCTTGGGCACTCACATAGGTTTGTATAGAATTTGAAGCTGTAGCTTCTGGCGGGAAAAAATCTAGCTGTTTAAATGTTTCAATTCTGGGGATGATATTTAATATTATGAGAATATCTGAAGAAAGGAATGATTGATTTATGTATGATTCACATTTAGAACAATTAATAACAAGTGAATATAATGTAAAAGCGAAATTTGATTTTATGTTTACATTTATTTTTAATATGAGATCTGAGGATGGTCGTTTGTAATGTTATGCTGTTTCTTCTTGGGATTTAATGGATGAGACAGTAGTTTAACCTATAGTTCGTAGATTCAAACATCATTTTTACCGGCTTTTTTCTTTAAAATTTGACGGATAATTGTATTGATGTATGTTTTACATGTATGAGTAAACTTCAGGTGATTCGATTATAAGAAATGGAAGAACGGAAACAATTTTACTTTGGTCGACAATGAAATCTTGTCGATGAAGGTATGTTGACTTGTTTATTTATGGAAGTTTTAGACATTTGATGTCTAATTGACAAGTTAAATATGAGATAAATGCATATTATTTCGTTTGTGTTGATATTTTATCTCGACAATTTTCTATGATTGAAATTGTTGCTTGATCTATGTAGATAATAATGTAATGATATTGTGTAAGTCAGAATTACTGTATAATGTATCATTTATATACTGTTTTCCTTTTATTTATGATATTTCAATTAGTGTAAATAATATTAATTAGTGGAAAATAAATATTGTAGTGAGAGAAGAATTTCATGAGATACATATAATAGAACTACTAGCAGCAGCAAATGAATATTAAGTTCTTATATAAATTTCCTTAAATTGTTTACAATTTTTGTCCTTCTCAAAGGTCAACATTGTGTATTTGGAAAGACGAGATAGATTTTCCATATAGTAGAAAAAGAATTCATTAATGATGATGACAATATTATAAATGTTTGTAGTACATGATATTTCCAATTTGGTTTATACACTTTGCTGCTAGTACAAGTAGCTAACTTTGCTGGAAAAAATGATGATGGTGT